GAAAGAGTTGTGTTGTTAATCAATTTCTGAGGTCCTTTTTGCTGGGCTTAATTTGCTTTCCTGGTGAAAGATAAAACATTTTGAAAGAGAGTATCCTGACTAACATTATCTGTGCTCGTAAAGCAAATAATTACATTTGCAGTTGTATGACTTTAATAGCTTTTGTTTAGTTGTGTTGTATATATTGACCTCTTTGCACTGCTTAAACACTTTAACTTACCTTGTGCATGAACCAGTGGAGTATATTTATTAGCCAAATTCTATTGTCTTGTTTAACATGTTTATTATAAATGCTTTTTATTACTCTTTTCTAATAATAACCTTGTCATTTGGATCCTACACCTGCAAAACTTTGCTCAAGTGAGTAATCCATTTACTTTAAAGTGAATAGGATGATCTAGCAAGTAAGGATTTGCTGTGCAACTTCCAGGTTTATAACAACATTATAATTTCTTCCATTATAGCTTCATCCATCCTGAAAAGGGAAAAACGGAAGAGGACGAAGAATGTTCATTTTAACTGTGTTACCGTGTACTATTTTACAAGACGGCAAGGTTTCACCAGTGTTCCCAGTCAAGGAGGAAGCACATTGGGCATGTCTACTCGCCACAACAGTGTGCGTCAGTACACGCTTGGAGAGTTTGCCATGGAACAAGAAAGGCTCCATCGAGAGATGTTAAGAGAACATCTAAGGGAGGAAAAACTTAACTCATTAAAATTGAAGGTAAAATTGGCAAGACTTGGTCTCTTATCTCCCACATTTAAATGAATGCTGTTAGGTCAGTAGAGGCCCAAAATTTAAGTTTGATAAAAACAAGATTTTAGCAGGTCCAAGTAGAAGTGCTTCCATGATTTGATTTGATTTTTTTTTTAAATCATGAAACAAGTGAGTGTTTGACTAAGATGTTGTCATAGCAACAGCAAAAGCCATGCATCTGAAGCAATACTATGGCTCTCATGAGGTACCCTGCTGCTTAGTCAGCAGGTAAAACACAGGATCCTGGGAGAGACATTAGGAAAGGATGGGGCATTAACCATTCATGTTACACTTCACTGAGACTATGTTCCAGAGAAAGGAAGTGGATCTAGAAAGGTTCTTTTTAGCCCTTTCTGCAAATACTCCTCTTTCTCCTTGTACCTCTGCTGTGATATTTACCAAATATTATCATGACAAAACCATAACCTTAATACCTAGCTCCTACCTGGTTATAGATATAAAAGTGCTTTACAAAGGAGGTTAATTAATCACCATTCCACCATTCAAGGTGGAGGAACTAACGTGCAGAGAAGAGACAAGGTCTGCCCAAGGACACCTACCATGCTGGTAGAAGGATCTGCTTGTGCCTCTTTAGTCCCTTTTCAGTGCTCTATTGCCATCATTCATCTGTAGGAGATGACCGTGAACAAGGCAACGTTGTGTTCGGTAAAATAGAGCTTGCAACTGGCCGGTTTATTTTTCAAATTGACTTGGGCAAATTTTGCCAACAAGAAAACATCAGTGGTGAGAAGCACACTTCTTTTTATTTTTTTTTTTATGTTTTCATTGTGAGATTAACAAAGTTGAGATGCATTTTTTCTTTTTTAGATGGAAAATGTCCTCTTTAAGATAGAATGCTTGAAGTTAGTTCAGCTCTTTATCTGAGATTAAATAACACTGGAGAACTTTTTTGATTTTTGTTAATCCCATGTCTTCTCCTGAGGCTGGTGTTTGAAATGCAGCATAGTAGACATTCAACATTGAAAGCGTCATTTGAAAAATGATGTTTAGAAACAATGGGTCTGTTTCTCAATCTTTTTTAATCAGTGGTAAAAGTCCACTATGCTCACTGAGGGCCGTGTTTCACATTACACTTACAACGTGTCAGCTCCACTTAAAATGCAAGCTTAGAACAGATGCAGATGCAGTGACAGGAACAGCATCCTCTCTGAGGCTCAGCTCCCCATGCCCACCAGCAGCAACAGAAACCTAGCTTGCTCTGCTGTGGCAGGGGTAGGTGCTCCCAGGCTGGGCAGTACTGGGAGCATGGCAGGGAGGATGTGGGCTCCAGGCATGGGAGTTGCATGTTCTCCTGGGCAGATGTGCAAACTGCAGCTCTTAGTGTCTGGAGAAAGCAAGAGGCACAGCTGGTTCTAGCACTGTCCAGAGCAAGCTAAGATTATAGTAAGCATTATCATGTCACTGCTCAGAATATGTTCTGACTTTTGATGCAACATGGTAATACTTACAGCAATCTCAGATAAAATGTGTGCTAAGTGTATTGTGTGACAAGGCCCTAAGAATATCTATGAACAGTCTTTGTTTCCATATATTTGGGGCTTGTTTTCCAATTAATACACAAAAATAGGTCTCAAAGATTTTTAGAATTGTAGCCTCACAACTGTGCTATTCAGCCTTTCTCCCATTGTAAGACTATACAGAGATTATCTCTGTTATAACTACTATTAAAAGGCAGTTGCCCAAAACAAACTGGCATTATCCCCAGTCTGAAAAATGCCTCCCAGGTGTTTTTTCACAGTTTTTGCCCTGAACTAGTTTAGAATTCTGTGTGCCTTTTAATACTCAGATATTGCAATAGCTTCTCAACCTCCTGAAGTTTCTTCTTTGAACAGGGAATAGATTTTAAAAATAATTTTTAACCCTAAACTGTTATCCTGGTAAAATGTGCTCAGGACATATACACAGTGGGAGGGACAGGAAGCAGAAGGCTACAGGTTTAGTAAGTAGCTCTGGTGTGAGGAGTGTGCACCCATTCATCTCCCATAATAAGCATTATGTGCAGGATTACAGTGCTTCTATTCTGTAGCTACCAAGATGCCTTGTTCTGGTCCCAGGAGTTAGATCACTTATGTATCTAGTCTTCACCCCACCACAGGGACTTATGGATACTATACAAAGGGAGACCCACAAGGGCACAAGTTAAAATTACAGGGTCTACAGAGATTTCAGGCCTCTCCTTCTCCAAATAGGCACAAATTCCATAAGCAAGAAAATCCCATTTACTTCTGGGAGTGGGTCCTATAAGCCTTAATCTGCTTTTGGGGTGGGAGGTGCAACTCAGCTGTGTGCTCTCATTCCTGCCCTCTTTTCTAGGTGTGGTGCATGTATTCTCTAGTCTCTCCAGCAACATCCTGCCTGACCTGTTGAGGTAGAAGGAAAGCATTGTTGGAGCATGGGCTTTTTCCCCTTTCCACTTGTCTTCTGCATCCTCCCTGCAGTCTAGCCAAATTCCCCTCACATATCAAAGCAGTGCTGACAGTGGGAATTTGTTTAAAGTAAAAGGGTGACCTCTGGTCTGGTTTTTAAATTCGTGTAAATTCCTTCTGTAGATGTTGGTTGAACAATAAACATTTCATTTGCATCCTGTTCCATTCCCCATCTGTTTTGAGGTTAGTAAGTTTGCCAGTTTACTTATACTGACAGCTGCAAATAGGAAAAAACCCAAACAAAACCCATGGGTCAAAACCCCAAGATTGTGCAATTAGCTTAACAATCAATGAGTCAGGGGGCAAAACACTTTTTCATCCTGGAGCAGTATGGTGGTCACCATTCATTCCTGTTCAGAACTCTTTCCTCCAGCATGGCTATGTCCCTGCTAATAAAAATTGGTATTCTTTTTATCTGCCTTTTGGTCTTTATGCCCCTGGTATATTTCAGTCCTGTTTTCAAGTCCTTCTTCATAACCATAAGGAATACATTTTTCATAAAAATGAAAGCTAAGATAATTTTACCTCAAGAGTTTGAGAAAAAACCACAGGTTATGAGCATAGGTGACTGGGAGAGGGTGCACGGGGGAGCACATGCCCCCCCGATGGGGCCAGTGTCCCCCCTGATGGCCGACACTGATGCTATCGGTAGGGATGGCACCCCCCTGACAGGGCCGTTGCCATCGGTGACTACTGCAGATGCCTCCCCCAGATACAGGGAGGCACCAGTCACTCATGGTTATAAGAGATAATAAACGTGAGATCCACACTATTTACTAATAAATATTTCAGACATGAATGAACACCTTTCTGAGGTCAGTGCAGTTACTGTGATGTCGAAATAATATCACTGAGATGAGAAATGGTTTCAGCATGTTTGAGACTGGGCAAGGCAGGCACAGGGAGCACCATGTAAGATATTTAGAAAGGCCAACTTTCTTTTTTAAGTGGTAGTTGTGAAAGGGTGAGGGAAGAACTGTTCAAATTGAGTCTCCTTGAATTACACTCAGTACTAGAAATCTGAGGGAATATATATATAATCTCGCCTTTTAGGCGATCATTCTAAACTGTCGAGGATGTTTTGTTTGCTTATGACAGCTGGGCCTTGCTGATTTCCCTTTATGGAGATGGAAGAGCTATTTTGCCATTTGTGCTGTCTCTAAATGAGCACAACAAAGACAGACAACAAAGTTATTTGGTGATAATGTCAGTGGTGATGATCCTGATTTGAATTGCACTGGTCAGGACTTGCATGTCAATTGCTATGCAACTGCATACACAGCCATTTCAGAAAATGAAGTGAGGAAAGTTTGTTTTAAAAGTTTTACAAATTACCATAACAGCTGTGTACAGAAAGGAAAGAAATTAATAGGTTTTTATTTAGTTCTCCTAGTTTGTTAATTTCTACATTGCATTAAAATATAAAGATTCATAGGAAGAAAATATTGTGTTTTTTTGTCAGCTTTGTTAAAAAATACATCAAATGAAGGGGTGAGGCTCTGGCACTAGGTACTTTTCTCTTTTTCTTATTTTACTTCTCAGAAATAGATGTTTCTTACTTTCCCTCTTCTTTTTATTAAAATTATTTTAAGTGACTTGAAATTATTTTTAAAAAATGTAGATTTCAGGCAATTCTTAACACTGTTGTTTCACATCAGAAGGAAAAAAAATCATTGCTGAGGTAGGGCACAAAAATCATCTTGTCCATGCAAAGGAGCCAAGTAGGATTTGCTTGAATGTGTTGTCTTTCAAGAGACATGGATTTCTTAGGGAGCTATATTTTATTGGACCAACTGTATAGTGGGGATAGATTTCAACAAGGTTTCAAACATCAAGCATTCTTCTTTGGTTCTCATCAGAAGAATATGTTGCATTCAAAAGCTTGTGTAAGTATCCCAACTATGCAGTTTGTCCAATAAAAGATATGTCCCTAAGAAATCCTTGCCTCTTGCATTATTCCTGGACCATCACAGCTACAACATTGTCTTTCAAGCAAACACCAGTAATCAAAGTAAATCAACCAGTATGACCTGAATGCTACATAACTTCATATATCTGAGGGCCAAATAATGTGTCGGCACAGACTGCAAAGGTTTCTCTTTTGAGAACAAGGAGAATCCAAAGTAGAAGCATTAGAAAAGAATTTGGGGTTTGCTTTTGCCATGTAACATAGCA